GGTGATTTACGATGTAGTTGAATTGTAAAATGGAATTTCGTTATTGTTGGTGTTTGTTTTGTTGTTGGTTTTGTTCTTGTTCCTGTCCTTTCCTTGTTCTTGTTCTTGTTATCATAATCATTAATGCTGTTGGTATTTTGTTATCACAGTTTTGATCGTCGTTAACATAACAGTAGTATGAATCAATTTAACGTTAATTATAAAATAATTATCAGTATTGTTAGTATCATTAATGCCATAAATGCCTTCCATTGATATTATTATTATTAGTATTATTATCGCCGTTATTATTTCTTTATTATTATACCATTGCTAGTATTTTAATATCATCTGTAATATTCATTTATATCACTATTATTACCATTGTAATTGTCATCATCACTGTTGTTATCTTTAATTATCATCAACATTATCTTTTTTATCACCATTTTGTTGCTATCATTGTTGTTGACGTAATGAGGTTGGCGATAGTTGTTTTCTTATTACTGTCATTACTGTTCTCTATAATTACCACTTCGACAACCGTTTTCATGACTGACATGGCCCTTAAGTTGTTGTCATTACCAAGTTATTATCGGTATTCTTTGATTACCATTATTATATTAACACCCAGAACTGTTCAGCCATGGTCGAACTGCGTACGTGACTGAACAAATATATACGTAGATAGATAGATAGACAAATAGATAGGTTAGATGGATAGACTGATTGATTGAGTGATTGAATGATTGACTTATTCATTGGCTGACTGATAGATAGACACAGATAGACAGATAGATAATGAGACATAAGGACATACACACAGCTGTATGCCCACTTCCCAGGCCGTACAAGGTCAAATGCCCGAGGGAAAGAAGACGGGTAGCTTATGCCCCCACTCCCCCCTTCCCCCCTCCTCGCTACCCACACTTACGGACACGCACGCCCAGTTCACACACCCACCCCACCCCAACGCCCCCAACTCCCCCAACCCGTTTCCAGGTATGAAGCAATTATCAACTAGCCTTTGTAGCTGGAACCCCTCCCTCCCCCCCCTATCCCATCCCTTCCTTATCCCCCCTTCGTCTAACTCCCCCCCCGTATCTATCCTCTTGCCTTCCACCTACCCTTACTCTCTCTTACCATTCCCTTACCTTCCTCATTTAGTAATCCATTTTCTTTCTCTTTCTCTTCTTCCCTTCCTTCCCCCATGCACTTTTTTCCGCTCTCGTGTTTTCATTTTCACTCCCTCTCAAGCCTTCTCTTCTCTCTTCTTCTCTATCTCCTCTCTCCCCTTCTCTTCTCTTTTCTCTCTCTTCTCTCCCCCTCTCACTCCTCCCTTCCCCTCACCTCTCCTTCACCCTTCCCTATTCTCTCCCTCCTCCCCTCCCTTATTCTCTCCCTCCTCCTCCCCTTCCCCCCAATCCTTCCCCACCTCCCCACCCCTCTTCTCTCCCTCCTTCCCTCCCCCCTTTCCTCCCCTTCCCTCCCCACCTCCCCCAGTTAAACCTTGGACAGGAACCGTTTTGCAATTTACGTACCGGGAAGATGAATAAGGGGGAGTGGGTGGGGGGGAGGGGGTTTGGGTGCGTGAGAGTGATGCGGAGGATAAGAACGGAGGGGGAGGGAGGGGGTGGGGAGTGGAATGGCGATAGATTGTGGGAAGGGAGAGGGAGAGAGTTTGTTTTATACGACCTCCCACTTCTTTTTCTCTTCTTGCTCTCTCCTTCATTCCCTCCCTCCTCCATCTCTCCATTTTCCCTCTTTCCCTTCCTTTCCTTTCTTCCCTCCCTCCATCTCCATCTTTCCACCTTCCCTCTTTCCCTTCTTCTCCATCATTTTACCCTCCCTCCTTCCCTTCCTCTCCCTCCTGTCTTCCCCCTCCCCCTTTTCCTCCTCCTCCCATCTCCCTCCTTCTATCCCTCCCCCCCTGCTTTCCCCCTTCCCCATTTTCACCTACTCCTATCTCCCTCCTTCCATCCCTCTCCCATCTCCCTCTCCCTCCCCCTTTCCCCTTTTCTCTTCCTCCTCCTCCTACTTTCCTCCTTCCCTCCCTCTCTCTCCTGCCTTCCCCCCTTCCCCCTTTCCTCCTTCTACCTTCCTCCTTCAATCCCTCTCCCTTCTCCCTCTCCCTCCCTCTCCCTCCCTCCCGCCCTCCTCTTCGTTCTCCCTCCCTCCTTCCATCCCTCTCCCTCCTACCTTCCCCTCTTCCTCCTTTCCTCCCCCTCCTCCTCCTCCTCCGACCTCCATCCCTCTCCCTTCTCCCTCTCCCTCCCCCCTTCCCTCCTTCCCTCCCTCTCCCTCCCCCCCTCCCTCCTTCCCTCCCTCCTCCCCCCAAGACACCCTTTTTAAGACAAGAAAGACAAGCCAAGGTTCCATTCCCCCTTTGGCCTTGAAGCGGAAAAGGAAATTATGCTTGGAACCGAGACCAAGCAAGCAAGCAAGCAGAAAAAAAAAAGAATATGAAAAAAATAGAATAAAAATAGAAATAGATAAATAAAGGAAGTTAAAATAAAATGAAATAAAATGTAAAAAGAAATAAAGAAAAATAAAGAAAAAAAGAAAAGAAATAGTAATCAAGAAAAAAAATGAAGAAAAAGAATAAACAAAGGAAGATCAGATAATTGAATATAATAGTAATAAAAATGTTTGTGCTTCTTATAGTTGTTTTTTTTGTTGTTGTTATTGTTACAAAGATGCAATAAATTTATAAATAAATCGTGGGACTTTTTTAAAGCCTTAGAAGCAGTAAGATGTTTTCGTTTATTTATCGTTTGAGGGAATTTTGAAAGGAAAAAGGAAGAGAAGGAAGAACTGATGATGAGTGAAATGAAGATAAAGGTGGAATTGGAACAGATGAAGAAATTGATGGGGATGAATAGAAGAAGAAAACGGAGATGGAGAGGTGTGAATGAAAGGAGAAATAAAAAAAATAGAGGAGGAATCTGAAGAATGAAGGAAATAAGAGAGATTGAATAAGGAAGAGAATACAGGAAGAGGAAGATGGAAAGAAGAAAAATGAAGAAATTTATAGTGAATTAGAAAAAAATAGATTAGAGATTGCTTTAAAAGGAAAAGGAAAATTACTGAAATGAACCAAGAACATGGAGGGAAAGGACACAACAATAAACCAAACAAAAGAAAAAAAAAACGCATAGAAAAAAAGACCCGACGCAGAAAACAAAAGTAACAAGATAAAAATAACGAACAAGGAAGAAAGAGCAAACGAAGGTTGACCAAACACAGAATTAGTAGAAGGGGAAAATAAACTAAAAAAGAAAAAAAGAAAAAAAAATACGAGACTATAAAAAGAAGACAATCAAGATATAAAAAAAAACATCTTGGCGGTGTCCCTGTTGCCTGGGAGAGGGGCAGTGGCGGGGGGGGGGGGGGTCCTGTCTGCCTTGGAAAGCAAAGTACGTCGCCTTGAAGACGTGCCTGCTATTAAAGGTAATCCTAAGGCGGTCCTTGTGGGCACGAGGAAAGATTGTCTCTTCGGGATCCTTTTTCTTCAGAAATTAAGGTCGAGATTCGTACATAAGTGTAAGATAGATGTGACTGAGATACACATACATATATACATACATACACACACACACAAATATATATATATATATATATATATATATATATATATATATATATATATATATATATGTATGTATATATATATATATATATATATATATATATATATATATATATATATATATATATATATATATATATATATATGTAGTATGTGTATGTGTGTATTCGTATTTATATATATTCATATATATAATATATATATAATTATATATATATGTATATATATAACATATATGTGTGTGTGTGTGACCCTATTCATGTTTGTAAGAGGATATAAATAATTCAAAAGGGGCCTATGCAAGTGAGGTCAAAGATTAGTCTTCCTGGATTTTTTCTCAGCAGTGCAAATCACATTTCACTCACGTATATACAAAGAGATAAAAGATACATGCTTGAACTAGACAACGAGATTTTATGCAGTGAAGAAAACATTAGCACTATTTTCACTTTTACTCGTCTTCCTTCTCGGTGCAAGTCAGATCCCATTATCATAAAAAATAAAATAAAAAGGGAAGTCACATTTAACAATCATCGAAGTTTTGTTAGTTTTTTCTTTGTTTTCCAAAAAATGGCTGCCTTTATACTGATTATCCCTCGCCATCTTCCTTTACAATGCCTATCCCTCTTTGTCCTTCGGCCTGGCCTCAGCACCCCGGTGATGCCCTGAAGGTCCCAGTTCCGCTGAAAACGCTAGATAATTTCGTTGATATTTCTTTCGTTAAACACTAAAGACGTCACTCCGAGAGCTGATAATGTCTCTCGTCTCTTGTTTCCCGTGATTTACGTGGCAGCTGTGAAGGAGATTGATGGAGATCTTTTACTTTGTGTGTGTAAGGGAGGGGTGGGGGGGGGACGGCTGGTAGGTCTTAACACTTCGAATTTTGCCCATAGATTTGAATTCGGGTCTCTCTCTTTCTCTGTCTGGCTCTCTCTCTCTCTCTCTCTCTCTCTCTCTCTCTCTCTCTCTCTCTCTCTCTCTCTCTCTCTCTCTCTCCCATTTTTTTCTCTCATTTTTTCTCTGTTTTTCTCTCTCATTTTTTCTCTCTCACTTTCTCTCATTCTCTCTATCTATCTGTCTGTCTATCTATCTCTTCCTCTCTCTCTCCCTCTCCCTCTATCTCAAATGTTCAAATTCCAGCCAAAACTTCAATTCAGAATTCCTCCCCAAACTTCAGATTTAATATTTGCCTACATCTTCAAACTCGAGTTTAGCCCGAAACTTCCGACTCCAACTTAAATTGTTCAAAAAGTTCGCGTTTCTCGCCTCGTCCCGTTTGCCTACACGAGGCCTCTTTCTCTCGTCCAGACAGGCTATAAAAGGCCGAGAGACAGACGAGTGCGAGAGCCAAGTCTGTTGCTCTTTTGCTCCCGTTTCTTGCCATTATTTTTTCCCCTTTTTTCAGGCGACCAAGAGTTGGCACTGCACTTAC